TCAAATGATCAAATACCATCACAGGTGAAATGCATTCATCGTATTTTAATAAGGAATGAGAAATAAGCCCATGATCAAAAAAATAAAGCTTCAATTCCCTTAAAGTGAATATTGAAGCTGAGATATTCCCAGACAAAGGTGAAGGTGAAGAAGTATGTTAAGCCACCCACAGAAAAACACTTAATAAGTGATTTACCTCCAACAAACGGCAAATTACTTCTCAAATGACACCTAGATATCCATATCAGCGCTACACAAAAATGTAGCGTGATGCTCAAACCCAGAAAAAAAGCGATATAAATTTTACCTCACAAGAAAAGTTTGATTGCAGAAACATTATCAACCCTACAATTCTTTAACATCACCAATTTATGAAATTTTCTTCTTATTCACAAACGCTAAGGAAGTAAGAGGGAAATTGCACATACCTTTGCTTTCTCTACGTCGTAATGATTCCTATACAGCGCGCACAATGCATCTTCATCGTCTCTTTTCTGCAAAAAAAAAAAAAACATAATTGAATAAATAGCAACCAACCAAAAACTAATGTGTATGAACGGATGCCTAATGAAATGTATGCTTATTGTGTTTAAATTTAGCAGATCATTGGTAAAATAACAAATCAGGCTGCAGTTCTCACAAAAAGCGATAATGAGTCGCTAGCGATAGACAAAATGTAAATCGTTAAAGACCATACATTGGCTCTCTGAAGAGATTTTCGGAAGTTCGTATTGAGCATAGCCTGCACGACATATTCTACTCAGAAGTTGTAGCTTAAGCTTAAAAATAATGCAAAACCTGAGCCTAAATGGAAACGTGCTCCTAGTCTAAATAAGCTTTTTTCATTTAGAGCAGGCGAAGTCTTTGAACAATAACTGGCGCCGTTACATTGTGATGGCAGAAAAAATGTGGTCATGACTCTGTCATTTGCACACATTTATAATAGCTGAGCCTGGAGCTATCGTATGCAATGACATGCTCTGGTGTTTGAATCCTGTATTTAGTGTAATGGCCCCATCAGATATTGAGAATCTGAGCAAAACTGTTCACAAAAAACATGGCTGAAGTGACCGCGCCTATCAGCTACTCGAAAAAAGCCAAAGTATAATAGCCGAGATAAGGTAAGGCAGATGGTAAAGTGTATCAATCATCTCACCGTAGAATAACGTTCAGAGAAGATTTGACCATGTGCAGCGCGCAAATTCACTATATCTACCAAGTATCGGTCTATTTCTGCTTCTGCGAGATCGTGGGCAGGCACCCATAAGGCACCGCCTGGTGCTGGAACTGGCAAATTCGGTAAATCATGGTCATTGTCACTCGAGGCCAGTGATGTTTCATCATTCATAGATTCTGGAACAGCAGCTTGATAACGACCTGCATCGACACGTACCTAAAAACAAAACTTAGTATACATGTAATAATGCTCAATTGATTTGGATTTCGATTTCTTACATCTTTTTTCCATGGATCTGGTGGTGCATAGTCCTTGTCATCTGACTCCTCACCCTCATCCAGTTCATCATAAGGGAGATGAAAGAATTCTGTGCTTTCACTTGCTTCCGCATCTTGTGCTTCGCCTTCACCAGCGTTTCCCGCCGCATCAGGGCTACTGTCGCACTGAAAAAGCTGCAGAATATGAATTCAAAAAATTTAAGTCACTTGCTCAAGTGCCAGAAACAAACATCGGCCTCTGCACTTCCTCCAGCAGTATATCCGTAACGCCTTCGTAGCTCTTCGATATCCATTGAACCTTCGTCCTCCAATTCTGGAACGAAGATATTTTCTAAAAAGAAGTGGTTGACAGAATGTGAAAAACCAGTTGGAAGTTATAGAGTAGAAGTCGTATAATAAAAGAAAATTTTGATCTGGTACGTGCAACCACAAATCACCTCTAAGTTCGCTGGCATAGTCCACGCCGCCAAGCATTTCCTCCTCATCTAACGTTCCTAGAATGATGAAGGTATAAAACTTTTCATCTAAGGCAACAGTTTTTACATACAATTACTTCATTATTGCATAAGCTTTTGTTACTTTCAGTGATTTAAACGTTTAGTCTCACATATGAGTTAAGGAAACAACAATGAAATATGGAAATATCCCGAACCATAAAGCGCTGCCGCTCTAGTGCAAACCAGATTTTGTTTTAAGTATTATTTAACTGCCATATATTTATTAGATACCCCTCCGCTTTCAAAGTTTTGATTTCTCCACTCTTCCTAAGATCATAGGTCCACTACGCATGGGTGATCACATATAATATTCATATAGACAACAAAAATCGTATTG